CTCTGACAGTGTGTGTCTAACAGGAGGCAGATAATGTTTATGACATGTTTCGCACTCGATACACTCTCCATCGCCAGGCCTACCAGCACAAGATCAGCAACATCATTGAAGAGATGTGAGTCGAATATGAGATTTCACAATATTGCATAACTTATTTGTCTAACACAAATTCAGCATTAGACTGTGATTCTTATACATGTTTGAAACACTAACTTTCGGTTTGTTAGGTTTGCTGAAGCGCTCGTATTAGCTGATCGTGATCTTCATGCTGGGAAACCTGAAGATATGCTGAAGATTTCTGAAGCCATAAAGTCAGTAGAGGAATACAGCAAACTCACAGGTCAGCTCAAAGTACAGGAGAAAAACATGGAAACTCAAAGCTGAAAGAGCTAAAGATATAAACCATAAACCAGGAGAAACATATTCTCTCTTATGAAACACCTCAGCACATGTGAAATAAGACGTATAATAATAAATCTGCTGTTGTCGTGTCAGATGAGATCTTTGAGCAGATCTCGTCCTCCACTGCTGAAAACCTGCAGGAATCCAGGAACATCCTGGACAAGATCTCCAGGAGAAAACTGCCAAAGTTTGTGGGAGAATTTCGTCTGACTAAGGAAAAGATCTCAAAGGTTGGACAGAAACTGAAAAACACATCGATTTACTGATTGATTAACCCTATAAAACTGATGAAGCCTTTGAATTCAGGAAATCCTGACGCAATCATGGAAAGCCGCAGTGCAGAAGTACAGACCCACTGACCCGACTGTTTCTCTGAACGCTGAAGAATTACCAGTTTATGTAAGTTATATCTTATTTCAGTGCGGATTTACATATTTAAACCAGATAACGTGTGTTTAATGAATAGGATGCTGCTTTTTACACTGAAATAAAGCAGAATTGTTTAGTGAATCACCTCATGTTCTCACAAGCTCAGGTGGTTGATCTGGATCACGGCATGAAGGACAAAAACCCCATTGAATTTGTCTATTTCTACAGCAAGAGGAATCCCACCAAAGCTTCAACCGTTAAAGATTTTCAGGTATTCATGACACTCAAACTGTTTTATTCCAGATCATTGCACAATCTTTCCCAATGGGTGCCATTTATTCCTTTATAATGTTCTTTTCGTAAACCTATCAGGAGCTTGAACTTGTTAGAGTAAATTAAGTACAATGTAAACTTAGTATTTTATATAAAACTCCTTGTGTGTGATATTTGTCTTGTATTGACAGTTGTCCAGTTTCCTGCCAAAGAAGTTTAATGAAGAGCTTGTCAGAGTTTATTACAGAAGAACTGAAGATAAGATGAAGGAGAAGAAGTTAGAAGAGGCTGAGAAGTGCTTTAAGATTTGGTGTAATGAAAATTTCCTCCAGTAATGTGTGTATGATTTATAATATCCAAAGTTTATGGCTGCAGTCAGTCTGTTTAAAGGTACACTGTGTATTTTATTAGCTGAAATCAATGTCTTTATTCAGAAATATATCACCTCATTGGTGTAAAATTACATCTGGCAATGATCTGACGTATCCTTGTAAATGAAGATTTTTTTATCTTTATTCACATGGTCCAAGGAGGTTTCCATGTCCTTCTGCCATCTTGAAAAACTAGTCTAGCAAAGAGGGACAAAAAGTAATCAATGTGTTTCCACAACACATTTTCATTCAGAGCCAGTGTCACGTGACTGAAACCAGCTGAAGCGGACGAGGAGATCAGTGAGAGGCGCTTGTCTCTGCCCGGTGAATTTGAAAGGCTGCGCTGCAGTGTGCTTATTATGCCTCTTCCTCTCCCTACCGTTGATCATCAACCAAATCCTCAGAGTTACATTACCTCTGCTCAGAGAACATTTGGTCCCTGTCTACAGAGCGGTGATGATTGGGCATTAATGATGAACACCTGCTGTTAATGAGCAGAATCACTGAAGGAAAGGTTGTAGTTCTTTATAACATCTGAGTGAATACTCGATTCTGATTGGCTGCAGGGTGTCCGTTAAAAAGTGATAGAGTGCCTGTTTACCATTCGAAATGAATAAATAAATGCGCTGCCCACAACAGCTGTGAGTAACCATAGCAACAGGCAGTCAAAGTATCCGTTAACAATTTGCTCTATCAAAACAAACAGTTAGATATTCAGTTAGATATTACATAGCCTACTAATACAACAATGAGCGACTTGGTTATTTCTTTTAACATTTATGGAGAATATGACAACTTTGACGACTGGGATGCTGCTGAAAAAATGTAAATAAAACGGAGAAACGTCGCAAAGAAAATTACACCGTTGCCGCTCTGAATGAGACCCTGCGGGAGTTTTACGCAGCAGTACAGACAACCGGCAGGAGGAGAGTCCAGCGTTTCAAGCCTAAGAAGCCTGTTTGATTAATTGTTTTATGTGTAATAAAAAAAAAAACTATGCCTACCTTTGTGTTTCATGAAAAAAAAAATGCATTTTTGAACCTGAAGGGCTCTACAAGCTGAGCGGACTATAAATATCTCCGGTTGCTAAATAAACCAGGCAAGTTATTATTTGTAAAAACTAGACCCAGATAGCAAACTGACATTGAATCAACGTGGAAATATGACATCGAAACAACGTTGATCTGACATTGTTTTGCTCATCGAATTAACGTCGAACCAACGTCAGACGCGTCATTCTTTCAAAACTAACAGAAAATCAACTTGAAATCAACGCGTTGTTTCAACGTTATGAAAGCAAACCAATTTTCGATTTTCATTTAGCTTTGAAGAATGCCGCGTCTGACGTTGGTTCAACGTTAATTCGATGAGCAAAATCAACGTTGTTTCAATGTCATGAGAGACGTCGTTTCCACGTTGATTCAATGTCAGTTTGCTGTCTGGGGATTTAGCCTAATTAAAATATAAGGGTGATTCTCCAACTATGGTACTTTTTAGACCTGGACTTTTTCAGAAAATGAAACATTTTTAATTAAAATATTACTGGCATAATTTGTTTCCCCAGTATGCCTAATTACCTGCCCTGAAGTTGGCAGTGCTGATTTTTATGAAATAATATGTTTTTTTGTTGTTGTTTTTCAGACATCGCAAAATAAATTGTCATTTCCACAACCGAACAAAAACATGTGTTTTCAACAAAATATGTTGAAATATTTGTAATTATAAATATATTGGGTTACACATCACACTTGCATGTTTCCAAATTGTAAATTCATTTATTTCTCTGAAATGCAACGGTTAAGATATTACAAAGTGAACACCAAAAAAACGCTGAACACTAAGCCACTGAAACCTTTCATTCATATTTCTGAATTTTATTATATTTTCAAATCTGATATTTTTCAACTCATATACATATACTTCACCCTTAACTGCTAAATAATCAACACCACCACCATCATTACCTTATTTATTTTATTTTTTTATGTTTTACAAAAAAAAAAATATCTGTGGTTGTGGAAATGACAAGGGAAAGGCGGGTTATGGCGAAAATAACATTTCAGATATAGAACCTGTAGTAGAATCATAAATGCATTATGGAAATGCAAAAGTGAGTCATGACCTCAATGTGTAGGACAAAATGAATCTCAAATTCTAGTTTGAAGTTTATTCTTATTTTAATTTTAAACAGGGATAGTGTATTGATGAACAACTGGCCTAACAGCACTTAATAAAAAAGATAACTCATTCCATGTGTGACAAATTATTTGAAACAAAAACAATATCATAAACACAATCATCCTTGTGTTTTCATAAAAAACCCAAAAGAAAATTTCTGTGAAAATATGACATGTTTCACCACTCCCTGAACCAGAGCAGTGTATGGGCCAAGGTTCACTCACAGATCAACAGGTGAAGCCAATGTTCAACATGTTTAAAATATGCCAAATTGAAAAGAAATACAAGAAAGTATATATATTATACTTGGGCTATAATTCATTCTTTCTGTTTGAATTTAAAATCACCCATTTTTTATCCAAGGTTCACTCGCAGTCAATTTTGGTCTCACACTAATGGATCCAACATCACGTGACGTTTCGTACAACAATAAAATATCTCAATTTAAAACATTCTCATGACATTATATGTAAAGTTTGTGTTTATACACTCTATTTTTAGCACTATAGGCAAACTACTTTGCTTTTAAAGCACATACAATGTCCTTGACAAGCCAACTGTCTTTATCACTTCCATGGAGACAGATGTGGAAATGACGGTTGTGGAAATGATATTTTTCCCCCTTTTCCTCTAAAATCTCATGTTTGACTAGCCTGTTGGTGCTAGTTTTAGAGTTAGCATTAAATAATCTCAAATATCACCTGATGAAATTGTAAAAATCCTGAAATGTTTCTGTCGGAATGAATTATGAGCGGTTCAGAAATGACATACAATTAACATACTGGCAGTATTTCTCATATTTACCTTAATATATGTCCAATTTATTAACCTCTGCTGGGACCATTCTTTCATTCAGCCATGTGGGTTCCTCTGGAGTGTCAGCTAACATGGTTACTGAGTATACAAATCTAGAACACCGAGCCTGGGATCGCATTTAATGCAGAGGTGTGGAAATGACAGTGAACCCAAGGGACAAGTGTTCAATAAGTTTAAAATATGTCAAATTGAAAATAAATATGTATAAAATGATCAGATTTGAATGAATTTGGTTATAATGCATACTTTCTGTTTGAATTTAAAATTATATCAGTATTGGATTTGAAGTGAGGTAAGGTTGAAGACCCAAAGTCTGGCCTAGGGACAGAGGCAAAATAGTAAAAAACGCATATAAAATGCCTCCTATTTTATATAAAACAACAGAATTGAACATTGGTTTTTTATAAATATATAGGTTCCCCTACACTATGTAGTAAGTGTGAAAAAAAAAGTGGAAATGTTTTAGTTTTTTTAATATCTGTCAAGGACAGAAAAAGTACCATAGTTGGAGAATCACCCATAAACTAGCAGCTAATGTTTTAAAAATGTTTTATTTGGCAAGTGACCATGGTATAAGCGGGTTAATGCCCTCCGAGGTGTCCATTGTCAGGTTTTAATGGACACCTCGGAGGGCATTAACCCTTACTTGTTTCTCTTTTTTTCAGTGATTCTGCTTGTTGACAGCAGGTGTTCATCATTAATGCCCATTTAAGTATCTCATTAACTTTTACTCTGATTCGGAGTGATCTGTAGAGATGGACCAAATGTCTCTGATCAGAGGTGTGTATAAATCGCTACGGATTATAAAGCGCACTGTCGTTTTTTGAGAAAATTAAAGAATTTATTGTGTGGAAAATATATCCCACTCCAACACTCCAACTCAGCCTCTATTCTTCACGAAAGATGGATAAAAAGAAGCAGATGAAACAAAAACCTTGAAAAAATGATATACGATCCCGCCAAATCACAGAGATGTCGATTCGCACGGGACTAATATTGTCACAGGACCTCGTGTTCGGCGAAATATAGTAGGTAATTTGCGGGGGAATTTTTACTTTACAAATTACAGACATGGCCGATTTGCACGGGATTAAGATTACAGACAAACTCCGCAATTATTACAAATTACTACAGGTCACCAGATAATACTAATCCTGTGCGAATAGGGCTTAGCACTTGACAGTAGTTCAGTAGATATGCAGTAACAGGGGAATAACGGTTATTTACGACAGTGCAAGTACACCACAGCGGCTCTAGAGGTCACTGTTTTACAAAAAAATCTGAGACTGCATGGTGTGGCTTTGACGATGAATTTTTTCCACATATAATTATATCATATGACATTAAATTTTTGCTGAAAATAATCGAAAATTTAAAATACAACTATACAAAGATAAAAAAAAACTATACAAAGATAAAAAAAAATTCAAACCACAAGAATTCCCGCCCAGGCGCAAGGATAAAGTTTCTTTCAAACGTTGAGCGGTGGCGCCGTCGAAGTGAGCCACTTCACTTCATAATCATTTCTGGATATTTTGACAAGGTCGTGGATAAAGAAATAAGCAAGTAAAATGAATATTTTCTAAACATGTCTGTATTATCTGTGTTTTTAACCACAGCGAACTTATCTGACTTAAGATAAGTGTCTAAACACGGAATAATGCTGCTTTTAAAGGCAAGGACTAACCTTAAAAAGGTTGCCTTTAATTTACTAATGCAGCTAACGTTAGGCAACAGTACTAGGGTGACCAACTGTCCTGTTTTCCCAGGACATGTCCTGTTTTCATATAACAATATAACCATTTTCTATCCATACAGAGGAGGCATAACCTACTTTAAATGTATTGAAATTAATAAGGTATCTTTGAGTAAACTTCGAGTATCATTTGAGTTGGCCCATCTGTTTGCCGGGCCGAGTGTCCTGGTTTTTGGTAATCAAAATATGGTCACCCTAAACAGTACCGCTCAAGTATTATAAGTCTGCAGTGAGAATGTCCTGCCATTAGGGCCATTACAAAGTTTATTTAAATGTGACTTGGCGGTAGGCTAAGGTTAATCATAAACATCTCTGACTGGCCATTACTAACCACAACATGAAGTGTGATTAGTTACAAAA